GTTTTTTTTTTTACCACAACCCACAGTAAGAAATAGGCTTTTAATCTCATAAATTTGTGTACTGATGTGTAAGTTTCACAAACCAATTTTGACCTTTTTATGTGATACACTGATGTGATACACTGATGTTTTTTCAGTTCCATTCCAATGTTCTCTATGGTGGCCAGAGAGATAGTATGGAAGATAAGACTCTTGCCTTGTGTGTGGCAGACTCTTGTTGAAACGCCAGCATCAGTTATGGTCCTCTCTGCACAGCCTGGGGTCACGCCTGCATACAGAGCCACAGATAGCCTCTGAGCACTGCCAGATGTGACCCCAAAACCAAAACAACAACAACAAAACACAATCTGTGATTCTCTTTCAGTAAAATAACATGCTGGTTCCATCATACTGAACTGCACTTAGTGAGCCCCAGTGACTGTGACAACAGCGGAGACCCAGTCCCTCCCTCATCATACTTCATGGCCTGTTACCCACTGAACTTAATGCTGATGTCCCCACATTTTCAGAGACATGATATTTACATTTTAAATAACTGTCAACAGATATAAGTATTTTTTAAGAATCTTGATATGTAACTTGTATACAGTGAATGCTCTTAGATATATTCCCCATCAGGATATGTACCTCACCGTGAGAAATTCTTTCGTGATCGTTCTCAGTCACTTCCTTCCTAGGCAATCCTTATTCTGATCGCTTTCATCAAAAATTTAGTTTTAGCTTAGTTTGAGACTAATACCAAGGACAGGTATTAGAAACAAGGGCCAGTGGTCTGGTCCACTCTTAAAAGCTTGCCAAAAGGGAGGTGGAGTGGGGAGGGCTGTTGGGATACACAAAGGACCACAATGACAATAATAGTTGGAAATCATCACTCTGGACAAGAACTGAGTGCTGAAAAAAGGAAAGGGATGTATATGATAACCTTCCAGTACCTGTATTACAAACCATAACACCCAAAAGGAATGAGAGAGAGAGAGAGAGAGAGAGAGAGAGGGAGGGAGGGAGGGAGGGAGGGGGAGAAGGAAAGGTATAAAGAGAGAGAGGGAGAGGGGGAGGGAGGGAGAAAGAGAGGGAGAGAGTGGAGTGTCTGCCTGCCACAGAGGCAGTGGCAGACCATGGGGGAGGTGACAGGAGGGACGTTCCACCAACTGGGGACGTTGGTGGAAGTGTGCACTGGTAAAGGGATAGGTGTTGGAACATTGTATGACTGAAACCCAATATTGAACAACTTTGTAACTATGTATCTTATGATGATTCAATTTTTAAAAAATGAAATAAATTATATCACAAAACAAAATTTAGGTTTGATGTTATAGAGTTTTTGTGAATGAAATCATACACAACATTTATTAGCAAGAATGATTTTGTTCAAGAAAATGTTTCTGAGATTAATTCATGTTGAATATATTAATTTAGTAAATAGATTTCCACTGCCTGAATATACTACTTTTGTTTGTTTACATGTTCAATTTTTCCTTAGTTTTCAATTGGCTATTATGAATAAAGCTTCTGTGAACTTTTTGCACACAGATCTTTGTATGTACATATATTTAAATGGTTTGCTAAAATGATGGAGCCTTATTATACCTTACCAACATTTAAGTTTAATTTTTTCTAGGCACGAAACTATATTAGTTGGTGGTTCTAATCTGCATTGACCTTATGGCTGATGATATTTTTCCATGTGCTTATTAGCCATTTGTTTATTCTACTTGTAAAGTGTTCAAGTTTGGACTGTTTATTTTTAATAATGATTTAAAAGTATTTTTATACTTCAGATGCCAGTTGTTAACATAAAGTATATGTATTATGAATATGTTCTCCAGTTTTGCATAACAGGATGTTCATTTTATTAATGGTATCTTGTTGAGGAAAGGATTTCAATTTTGACCATCTATTTAATGTTTTTTCTTCTATGGTGTTTTCTGGGTATCATCAAAGAATACTTTTCTTTATTTTTTGTTTGTTTTTGGACCACACCCAGCAGTGCTCATCGACTTACTCCTGGCTCTGTGCTCAGTGGTTACTCCTAGTGGTGCCCAGGGCACCTTATGTGGCTAGGGGAATCCAACTCAGCTCCACGGCATGCAGGGCGAGCGCCTTATCAAGTGTACTGTCTCTTTAGCACCTAAGAATACTTTTCTGCCCAAAGATTGGTAAGAAATGTTGACTTTTATTTACAGGTATATGATTCATTCTCAGATTAATTTTTGTATATGCTTTAAGGTAGACACCAAGTTTTATTTTCTTCCTGTATTTGCATCTAGTATTCCTATCATTGAAAGGCTTTTCTATACTATGGAATTGTAGCACAGAATTTAAAAAGAAAAAGTTGTAGGTGCAAAGATGACTTTTTCCCATGAATCAGAACTGACCCTCTGAACTTCTTAGACCATTCCCAACCTACACTGTTGGTCTTTTATTCTTTTCTTTTGCAATCAAACCTAGGACCTCACACATGCAAGGCAAGTGTTCTAACCTTAGTGCTGTTAAAAGAGAGTGAGAGAGAGAGAGAGAGAGAGAAAGAAAGAAAGAAAGAAAGAAAGAAAGAAAGAAAGACAGAAAGAAAGACAGAAAGAAAGACAGACAGACAAAGAACAAGAGTGTAGGTTGGGAATGGTCTAAAAAGTCATGAATCTGTGGCATATTAAATAACATGTTGAGGGAATGGACAATATAAAAAATGAGCCAAAAAAATTGGCTCTAGTTTACAGAAACAAAAATACCAAGGAAGGGCTGGGGAAGGAGGGGAGGGGGGAGCAGGAAGCGGAAGTCTGGAAGTGTCATAGGGGCCTCAGGCTCATCTGAGGTATTGGGTGAGGTTTCTGTATATATCTTAACCACTAGACACAACACTGCTGAAAGCATGGAACCCAAGCAGCGTAGTTGAATTTTAAAAATGTATCTGTCAAGGCGTTATTGGGGGATGGGATAGAAGCTGGGTTTTGGGGTAGAGTGATGGGATCACAAGGCATTTGGATTAGAAAGTGGAAGCATTGTGTGCCTGAAATCTTATAAACAACTCTGTAAATTATAGTTTGACTTTTTTATTTTTGTTTTTAGGTCACACCCAGCAAGGCTTAGGGTTTACTCCTGGAATTAGGGTTTACTCAGGAATTACTCCTAGCAGTGCCACGGCCCAGGTGGGACACTGAGGAGTAAACCTGGGTCAGCCACGTGCAAAGAAAACACTATAGCTGCTGTACTATCATTCCAGCCCTCAGATGATATTTTCTCTTTATTTTTGGTTTTTTGCTTAGTTTGGGGGCCATACCCGGCTCTGCTCAGGGGTTACTCCTGGCTCTGCACTCAAGAATATACTCCTGGTGATGTTCAGGGGACCATATGGGGCGCCAGGGATAGAACAAGGGCTGCTAAATGCAAAATAAGTACTCTACCTGCTGTTCTATTGCTCCAGCCCTGCCTGTATATCATAGTTTCAGTACAAATTTTAAATAAGTAAACCAATTTTTTAAAAAAATTTTATTAGTGACAAACCAAGAGGTACAGTTGTAGACTTACAAATTTTTGTGCTTGGGTTTCAGTTATACAATGATTAAGTACCCATCCCTCCACCAGTGCCCATTTTCCACCACCACAGATCCCAGTATCCCTCCCAACCCTCGTACCCCCATCCCACCCTGCCTCCGTGACAGGGCATTCCCCCTCTGTTCTCTCTCTCCTTTTGGGTGCTGTGGTCTGTAAAAGAGGCATTGAGTGGCAATCATGTTCGGTCTATAGTCTACTTTCAGCATGCTTCTCCCATCCTGGGAGGATCCTCCCAACACCCTTTATTTGGTGCTCCCTTCTCTATCTGAGCTGCCTATTCCCCTAGCATGTGTGGCTGGCCTCCAAGCCGTGGAGTAAACCTCTTGAATAAGTAAACCAAATTTAAGGGACCTGAAGACTAGCTCAAGGGAACGAATATGAATGCAACACCCAGGTTTGATCTGCAGCACTGCATGTCCCTCTGGGTGAGCCCTCTGGGATCTCCAACTATTGTCTGCCTGGGCAGGCCACACTCTAAGTGCCCTGTCCCCAGTACCTGATGTGACCGCTATAAAAAATAAGTATGGGGACCAGGGAGCTAGCTCAAAGGAGCAGAGCCCTGGGTTTACGCACCCTCCCACCGCCCCCCCCCCCCCCGCCTGATTTCCAGAACAGCCCTAGGAGTGACTGCTGAGCAGAGTCGCTGCCCCCAGCACTGGTGAAGTGATCTCAAGACTCCACATAAAGACATCAAGTGGAGGACTCAGCTTCTTAGTTACAGAAGCCACATTTCAAGTCCTTGGTAGGGACACTGAGTTGTTTTGGACCCTGTTGAATAGTGCGGATAGAGAATATTTTCTTTTTTAAAAAGGTGCTGAATAGCCCTTGCCTATAAAATAACAAAGGAGACTAGTTTTATAGCATACTTTTAATAGAATGTTATTTGAGTGATTCTTAGTTTTCGTAACTAATTCATCTTCTTTGGACTGGGTCTTTCTCATTCTTTAGTGTTCCTCTTTTCATTCTAGGGTTTTCTATCAAGAAAAAAACATCTTTTTTGTCCATCTTAAAGTACAGTAATTGGGACCAGAGAGATGTATAGTGTTAGGCACTTGCCTTGCCTGTAGCAGACTCCAGTTCAATCCCAGACACCCCTATTGTCCCTTGAGCACCAGCAGGAGTGATTCCTAACCATACAACCAGTAGCAGGCCCTGAGCACTACCAGGCTTGTCCCCCAAAGCAAAATAGAACAAACAAAAAGTGGTTAAAAATATGGAATTCTGTTTTGCTTTTTATCCAGATTAAAACTGTATTTGTCTTTAGCATTTCTACCATAAATAAAACTCTCAGGAAGCCGTAAGTTATGCTGTGGAGCTGTGACCCGTATTAACATTGCTGAACAGCAGTGAACTCTATTATAATTTTATCATGAGCAACCACATAGGAATTTGTAAGATTTTCTCTCATTGTTTGTGGGGCGTGTACCAACTTTGCCATTAATGTCTTTCAGTGTGGGAATTTTGCTGTCCTGGTGGATCTTCATATATTGCCGCAAGGTTCAAGCAAAGACACCAGCTGGTTTTCTGAACAGAAGAAAGAGGTATCATAAAACTTTTTTTTTTTCCCCCAGGAGTGTGGGAGAGTCATATGCAGCTCTGCTCGGGGCTTACTCCTGGCTCTTTGCTCAAGGGACCATTTGTTGTGCTGGGGTTCAAATCAGGTTAGGCTGCATGCAAGACAAACCCCTAAACCTTCTGCTCTCTCTCTCTCTCTGACCACAGACCTTTTGAATGAGTTAAATACAAGTGAGTATTGCTAGAAGAAATACTAGCTCTTTTCAGCTTTCATTTTCCTTAATGGATAAAAACAAAACAAAACAAAAAACTATTGAGTGATATTTAGCTCTTGAAAAACAGTCGTTTTGTGCCAATGACAGACGTACACCTGCTTTTTCTCCCGCTTCGGAGCTCTAGACATCCATATATTTCATATACTTCTCTATGACTTAAACCTCAAATTTCCTAGCTCTTTGTTTGGGGATAAGGAATTCTCTGTCTTAAAAGAAGTTAAAGTGACTATTCCGAGTGAGCAGGGCTTTTAATACAACTGGGTCGAAAGAAGGGACTGCGCACCTGGAACAGGTGTGAGGGTTCACACAGGCTGATCTTTCACACCTGTCTGCAACCCTCATCTCTTGTACTTTTATCTTCCAGCATCCTTTTATTAGGATGAGCCTTTTACAGCAAGTCCAGAGCTGTTGGACCGTGTTCCTTCACTTACTGCAGGCAGTTCGGAGAGCACCGAGCCGCTTGCCTGGGTGCACAGTGGTTGACTTTGCAGGGCCTCAGCCCTTTCTGTGAGTGTAGAAGTTCCTGCAGAGACTGTGGGAGTTCTCTTTGCCTCCACAATCCCATGGAGCTGCCTGTGTGGCTATGTTGAAGATGCATCTCATTCTTCTTTGTTGTTGTTGGTGTGATTGTTGTTGTTGTTTTGGGGCTGTGCTCAGGACTTACTCCTATCTCTGTGATCAGGGATCACTTCTGGCAGGACTCAAGGGACTATATGAAGTACCAGGAATTGAACCCAGGTCGGCTGCTTGCCCCTATTCACTGTACTATCACACTAGCCCCACACATCTTGTTCTTATCCCATGCTTTGCTTCCTTCTCCAGATGCCTGCTTGCTAGTGAGCAGGGAAAACATGGCAATGGCTTTTCCCTAACTTTCAGAATGTTAGAGCGCTTCCTGTTCCCATGCAATCCATTCATCACAAGAGCTGGGGAGAGCTGGAAATAAAAATAAGTTTTATGAAAGTAGTGATTGTGGCAAAACTTTGATTGGACCACTGTTTTAAAGTCAGCTTTCTGTAAATCACTAGGCGGAAAATAAAGTCACCCCCCCAAAGGAAACATAAAGTCCATTCATTTTGAGTCAAAAAATAATTGCTGTTATCAGACTTTGCTTCATAAATTTGCAAATAGGGGCTGGGTACAGCCAACAGGGCTCGTGAACCTTACAGGTGGCTGGGCCCAGGTTTGATCCCCAACAACCCATATAGTCCTCCGAGCCCCACCAGGAGTGAACCCTGAGTACGGAGCCAGGAGTAAACCCTGAATATTGCCAGATATGTTCTCCAAACCAAAAAAGGTAATAATAATAATAATAATAATAATAATAATAATAATAATTGCTGGTGTGAAGCTGGAATAAGAAAATATTCCATATGATGGGCTTTATGTTCAGGTAACTTTTCCCGACTTAATATTTAGTAGATTGTTTATACAGCTCACCTTCATCTAGTTCCAGGCTTTGGGTTACCTCCACATCTCCATGATTCAACACTTTCCTCATTTTCTTAAAATGATAACTGTTCCCTCAACGGTTCCCCACCCCAGAGACTTCTGATTTGACTTAAGTTGCCAGCATTCTAGCGTCAACTTTTCAGGCCCCGGCTTTCCTCCATTGCCTTCCCTTGCTTTGCCACCTCAGCTTTCAACCTTCCTTTGTTGTTTGGTAGCTAGCTTTGCCAAGAGCCAGTTGGCTTGGAAACTTTTAAAATAAAGCTCCAAGCGTGAGTCACTTCTAGCCAAAGCATGAGACTAGATTTTTCCAGGGTGCCACACACAGCTGCGTTGCTCCACCTTGTACCTGTGTCTGGGCAGCAGGGCATGACTTAGCAAGGATGCTTCCTGCACGATGAGACCTGCCAGGCTCTGCCACAGTGACAGCCCGACTTGCAAGCTGAGCTTGCCCCGCCAGCAGGCCAGCAGCGTTGATGGCGTTCTGCGTTCACGTTAAGGTCTTCCTTTAAAACATATTAATTTGCATTGAAAATATCTGGGAGGGGCTGGAGAGAGGGCTGTGTAAGTGCTTTGCATGCAGGAGACCTGGGTTTGATCCCTGGCTCCTTAGGGTTCCCCCAGCTCAGAGATGGGCGTAACGCCCAGCATTGTAGGGTGTGTTCCAAAACAAAGAAAAACAAAATCCAATAACAAAACTGCCCCAGAAGTTGTAGGTTTACTATTTTTTTTAGTGTGTGTGTGTGTGTGTGTGTGTGTGTGTGTAAAAGGGAAGAAAAGCTAGTTGAGAGAAGAATACCATTGTAACTTATCCTTGTTTCTGTGCCTTGAATTTTGTCATTAGATCATGCCATGATTTCATGAGCCATCAGTTTGATAACATTTTATTATTTTTTTAATTGAATCATTGTGAGATACACAGTTACAAAGTTGTGCATGATTGGGTTTCAGTCATATAATGTTCCAATACCTGTCCCTTCACCAGTGTATATTTCCCACCACCAGTGTCCCCAATTTCCCTCCTGCTACCCCAACTCAGCCTGTCTCAATGGAAGGCACTTTAATTCTCTCTCTCCTCTCTCTCTCCTCACTCTTCTCTCTCTCTCTCTCTCTCTCTCTCTCTCTCTCTCTCTCTTCTCTCTCTCTCTCTTTCTTTCTTTCCTCCCTACCCCTTTAGGCATTATGGTTTGCAGCGCAGGTTCTGAAAGATTATCAAGAGTTCAGCACAAATAGATTTCATATTCAAACAGCTAAACTGCTTTCACATATGAACTTGAGTAAACAAGTCTGAGCCCCCGTTAGAAATTCTAGAGAATTTCAGATTTCTCTATCTCTTACTCATCAGTAAGTTTTAACTTGATCTTCTCATCTTCCCTCCAGTTCAACTGGAAGAGCATGCCTTAATTGGGGTGGTCAATTTTTGAGGTGCCTTGTTTGCATTTATGTGATCTACCTTCCATTTGTCAAACCTCATTCATAGGAGGGAAAGCATAGTAACTAGAGACAAAAAGTTTGTGTGTATGGGCTTTAGTGTTATTTTTGTCCAGCTATTTTTACTTCTAACCTTGTAGGGCATTTATGACCAAATTTTGACAATCTTTGTTTCCATGAATGTCTTTTGCATATTTTCTAGCTCAGTCATGGTTGAACCCTGCATGTAAAGTAAAATTCTTTAATTGTTAAAACAACAGTATGAGGCAAGGCTGCCTTTCTGTTGTGTGAACAATGCCAGAACTCTCAACTGTAAATGGATATCTCTATTCCATAAGGCACTACATCTTTTGGCTGAAAAATGAGAGCAAAAGAGACTCGAGTTTGCATTTTATTTAGAAATTTATATTTGTGAACTAAATCAAGAGTCTTCTTATACCATTTGAAATATACACGCATTTGCAATAAAAGTAAATTTGGCTTATCTTTGTCCTTTGAAATAACTTAAAACTTTTTTTTTCATTTTAACTCATGAAGATTCTAATAGATCAACTTGAGGTGGCATTTCAAGGAACCTGTGAAACAGGTTTTAGGTGACCTCAGCAACTCTAGAGCCTTTACAGAGTCTTTGGAATTGAACAAGAATTATTGGGTTTTTTCACATCTCAGTTCTTAATCTAAGTAAGGAAATTTAGATTTCAGTGCATTTTTTTTCCCCTTTCCTATATCAGCTTACTTTTTTTCCCCTGTTGGCATAGTTAAAATGATGTCTTCCCATTATATAGTTATACATTGGGGGGGGGTATTTGTTTTGTTGTTTTGTTTTTAATAAATAACACTCAGTCAGTAAAACAATAGGCAGCTCCAGAACTTCTCTAGAGGTATGGCATGCTTACACAGAATTAGAACCATGTGTTTCTGTTACCTAATAAATACTAATCTACTTCAGACAAATTCAAATGATTAAATTATTTTCTTCATTATGAGGTGCATATAGTGCAGTTTTCCCAAAAGCAAATGGGGCATATACAGTATCATCAATAAGAATGTGAAAGAAAATTAGATTACTGATTTCCAGCTCTCCATTCAACTAACTATCCAATGTATTTATTTATTTATTTATTTTTCATTAGATTTGTAAGCCTAAAGCCAGAAACTACTGAATGGTGATGTTTAGATTTTAAGAAATTCTAAGATTTCTTAAAGAAATTTAAGAAATTGTAAACCAAATTTGAAAAATATGTCATTGTTTCTGGGCTGGAGCGATAGCACAGCGTTTGCCTTGCATACAGCCGACCTGGGTTCAATTTCTCTGTCCCTCTCAGAGAGCCCGGCAAGCTACTGAGAGAGTATCCTGTGCACACGGCAGAGCCTGGTAAGCTCCCTGTGTCATATTCGATATGCCAAAAACTCTAACAAGTCTTACAATGGAGACTTTGCTGGTGCCCGCTCAAGCAAATTGATGAACAATGGGAGGACGGTGCTACAGTGTTACAGTCATTGTTTCTAATTCTTCTTGAACAAACCAGAACCATAATTCTTCTTGAACAAACCAGAACCAGGGGCACTGTGGCTTTTATATTCAAATGACATCATTTCACTGAAATGAATGGCTGCCCATTTTAACTTTGGGGGGTCCTCTTTAATCCACAGTTTCTGTCCACACATAGGACTCCACTGTGGGCCCTTGCTGCCAGTAGTATTGACTGAAATTCTCTCAATTTGTTACAATAGAACAGATTGAAATTTATATGATAACACTCTTTACCGTACTGACACCCTAATTTTTACATAAGGTATGTGGTTGTTTGTTCTTTTTTTGAGGGGGGAATGTTCAGGGCTTACTCCAGGCTCTGTGCTCAGGGATCACTCCTGGCAGTGCTCTGGGTACCATTTGTGGTGCCAGGAATGAAACCAAGGTTGACTGCGTGCAAGGCAAGCTCTCAAGTGTGTGTTTTCTTTTTTGATGCAAAACTGAGGCAGAGGGAAATAAATTAGTTTGTCAGATCACAGAATGAGCAGACACAGATTTAAGAAAACCTTGGTGAGGAATTTAAATTAGTGGTGTTAGCTATGAGCACATAGAACATTCCTTTCAGTGTTCATGGCTAAATAAAAAAGCAAACAAAATGAAACATCCAGGGTTGACTTTTTAATATGCATGATGTTGACTGTGGGGCATTGCATTAAATTAAAAAGTTGCATCTAATTTTCAAATTTTATTTTAGGAGGTCTGTTTACTGTTAAAAGAAACCATTGATTCAAGAGTTAAAGAGTACTTAGAAGTTCGTAAACAGCACAAGCCGTCAAATACAGAATTCACAAGATCCAGCCCTTTGTCCTTAAAAGGTAGGCTCAGCATCCTTTGATATTTGGGTAAAATGTCTGCTTTGTAGAAATGGCAGTTGGGTCCTACTGTGACTGTCATATTAGTACGGTGATACATTTTAGAAATATGTTCTAATGAAGATGCTCTGCTAGGGTAAAGAAAATTAACCAAAAAACTTTGAAGCATTTTTTCATGGTAGACAACATACTTTAAATAGAAAATAAAGCATTCCTCAGGAAACTAAATTGTTTGACAGATTTTTTTATTTGATAACCAGTCCTTCAAATATTAGTATTGACTTGATTGTGTGCTCTCTGCTTTTTAAAAACATTCATGTATGTCAGGCTATTTCAGAGATTTTCAAAGGCTATTGATAATGTCCCTGTAGAAATTTTGTAATGCCTGCAAACAATTTGAGTTGTCATAATGAGGGATGGCGCCATGGAAGAAAGTTCTGTCATCTAGTGGGTAGAAGCCAGGAATGCCACTAAATATCCTGTGATGCACAGGATAGTTCCTCCCAGTAAGACATTGCCTGTCCCCAGCTGTCAAGGACACTGAGGTTGAAGGTTCTGTCCTATTCCCTAATAGCACATGGAGAATGGTATAGGTAAAGTAACTAAAGAGCTGCCAGACTGAGGAATTTAAGGAAAAAAAAATAATAAAGTAGACCATTTTCTTGAGTTCTTGAGGACTGAGATTATCTTGTTTATTTGGCCCTCACTGTTTTTTTTTTTTCTTTTTGAGTCACACCTGGCTATGCACAGTGGTACAGTGGTTACTCCTAGCTCTGCACTCAGGAATCACTCCTGGCGGTGCTTGGGGGACCATATGGGATGCTGGGAATCGAACCCGGGTCGACTGTGTGCAAGGCAAATGCCCTTCCCGCTGTGCTATTACTCCAGCCCCTGGCCCTCACTGTGGAGCTCAGGGCCTGAAGTCTCAATTCAGTGATAGGTTGACTGAAGCACATTTGGGTGCTAAGCCCTGCACCATCTCCTTGGCCCTCCTGTAATTTTATTGAAATGGCCTTTTCCAAAAGTAATTTGAAAGCCACTAATCATATGGTCTTACCAATTTCCTCTCTAGTATTCAGTTCTGTGTCTAGTGTTGCCACGAAAGAGAAAGCTGTTTCTGTATCGATGGTGGGAATGAATGTAGGTGCTTTTTCTCTCATGTAAATTGTTTATCTTCTTTCAGTTGCATTGTGTATTTTATCTTTTCCCATTCCCGTTTCTGTGTAATGGTAATATGCTTTATCATATGTTGCTAATGCAATCGTGCTGGGAGAGGTGATCTCCAGACTGATAACTTAGATGATTATTCATAAAATTAATACTTTTATGCTCTGTGTTTTCTTTATGAAAACAGTACAGATGATTCTGAGACCATTTCCCAATCATGTTATACAAAGGAATAGCAAAAAGTTATTAGCACACAGCATAGTATAGGCATTTGTCAAGTGTTATCTTTTAAAGGCATCTCAAATGTTATTCCAATAAATTTGATAAAAATAGTTTTATAAGAAAGGTTTTTCCTTAAAAGATTGCTCTGTCAGTTCATGTCAATTGTACCTCATTAGTATTTTTTCCCTTATCTTGCCAATATTGGGTGTTACCAGTGTTTTTAATTTTTGCCAGTGCAGCAGGCCAAAATTTTGATGTTTGTCTAGTGTCATAAGGAGCCTAAAATAGGTCCATGGCACTTTGAACTTTCAGGCTGGATCATTGGTATCCTCTCTGTTCTTGTCTTCCTTTAATTAAGTACTGAAGAAGCCAAGTCATGGGGATGGAAAGCAAAGTGCTGAGCGGGTCATTTCCCACTTCCACTTCCCGGTTCAAGAACCATTGCTCTGGCCAAAGGAACAGACTGTTCTGTTGTTCTGAGCATCAAATACGTCTTTGAGGACTTTGCCAGTCTCATGGGTCATTCCTTACAGTTTGTATAATGACTGAATTCTTAGTAGGCCTTTCCATCAATGTGTAAGTCCAGCTGCACTCAAGTCCCACATGAGTTCTTGGTAGACTCTCTGAATTTTATGAAGCCACTACCTTAGTTTGTAAAATGAATGTCTTGATCAGAAGCATTGTGGTGGTGAGAGTGAGTCTTTCATTAAGTCCATGGGTGGCGTAACCGGCAGAACATAGCAGAACCCACATTCTGAATAAGGGTTGATTCCAGATATGAAATGCCTCTTCTGTGATGAGATAGGTCTAACATAATCCACCTATCATCAACTATCCCATTTCTCTGTGATATAAGAAGTTGTTGGAAAGGCTCAGGTTAAGCTCTGTTGGTGGATCTGGAGCAGTTGTTCAGGAGTAGGGCGTTAACCTTGCTGACCCAGGTTTGATCCCTAGTATCCCATATGGTCCCCTGAGCACCACTAGGAGTAATTCCCGAGTACAGAGCCAGGAGTAACCCCGGAGCATTGCAGGGTGTGACCCAAAAAAGCACTCCCCCCACAAAAAAAAAGTTGGTGGTAAATTAGGCTCTTGGCAGTGTGAGGTTAACCCTTAGTGAGGTTAAGTTTATGTTATTGAGCTCAAGTGTAATGTCTCATTCTTACACCATATGGCCCATGAGCCTTTTGAGCAGATGATTTGGTGGCTAAAGACAGAGGTTGACTAGCATCCCTGTTATAGGCCATCCAGATCACTCTTAAGAACTTCTTAATGATTTCTGTTGGAGTTTCTTTTGGAGAACCAGTTCTTCTGGGTTCTTTTATATAAATCAATAGATAAATACATAGACATATAGACAGATATTTGTAGCTTAGATTTTCTCTTATAAAAACTCGATGGACCCAAAGTGTTATACTACCTCGGCCCAAAATATGGCTTTCAATGTTCTGGCTGCTGGACGTTGTTTTCTTTACTGCCTTAGTGAGATAATACTAATGCATTTATTCATTCACTCTACCTATCAGGTAGAGCCATTGATTAACCAGGTGCAAATTTTGATTTGCTAATCAGCTGGTCATTAAAGCTGTCACCCTTTTAGATTATTTGTATCAGTCAGAGAAACATGCATATACACCAGTGTTTGTGCTTATATTTTAATAGTAGTGGATTCAAGTTTCAAAAATTTGAATTTTTTTTTAAATTGAATTTTTTTTTTTGATGGGCACATTTTATGTCCTGGATTGCTCAGAAACTATATATATATATATATATATATATATATATATATATATTGCTTTTTTGGGTCATACCTGGCGATGCACAGGGATAACTCCTGGCTCTGCACTCAGGAATTACCCCTGGCGGTGCTCAGGGGACCATATGGGATGCTGGGAATTGAACCCGAGTTGGCTGTGTGCAAGGCAAATGCCTTACTCGCTGTGCTATTGCTCCAGTCCCCTCAGAAACTATATTTTTATAAATTTTACCTGTCTCTACTTGGTATATCTGTGTCCTAGTCTGGAATCTAGAATATCCCCTCTTTTGTTCTCTGAATCTTACTGTAGTTTCTTCATTTTAACAGACCAGAGTACCTCTTACAAGGTAGTGAGATAATCAAGGTTTCTGTGAACTAACAATGTCCTTGTATTCTTGTTAACAGAGTATTCGACAAAATAGTGAAGCCTTGTGACTTTCCTTGCTGTAACTAGATGCTTGCTTCTGCATACAGATTGCCAATCGCAATATAAGGGTGTTCCATGTCACATACCAGGGAAATGCAAATCAAAATAGTAATGAGATATCAGCTCACCCCATTGAGAATTACTTCTGTACTTTAAAAGTCTGTGACCAACTGGTGGTGGTTGGATATCATGAAAACGGAACCAATATCCACTGTGGGTGGTAATGGAAAACAGTAGGAAAACTTCTCAAAAAGTTAAGACTAGAACTCCCGTATGACCCCTATTCCACTTCCTGGCATCTGTCCCAAGATCTCAAAAACATCAATTTGAAAAGACACTTTCATGACTGTTTTCCTTGTAGGTCTATTCACAATAGCCAAGATCTGGAAACAACCCAAGTAACTAATAACAGATGAACGAATAAAAAAAATTGTGGAATATAGACATAATGGAATTCTACTTATCTATAAAGTGAAATCCTACAGTTCACTGCTGCCTGGGTAGCGTTGGAAGGTATTCTATGCAAAGTGAGCCTAAGGGAAAAGGCCAAATACTGAATCACCTTACTCATGTATGTAGTTTAAAGAAACCTAGTGAGGGAATAAACAAAAAGGCCAATGATAATAGACCCTGAGAATCTTCCTAAGAGTAATGACTTTGCTAAGTGAGGGGGAGGTAGATGAGAAAGACCCAAGAGACAATGGTCGAGAAATGCTGATTTTCTGGTGGCAGATGTTGTATAGCAACATTGTCTTCCTGTATAGATCAGTGTCTGAAGAAAACTCTGTGTGTATGTGTGTGTGTGTGGCGGGGTTGGGGGGAGATTGAAAAAAGCGCGACCATCTTAGAAAAAGTCTTGTTTAATTAAACCTATTTTAACCTACCATTATTCTCAAAGACTCATTTGTCTTCTACTTAGGTCAAAGAGGCAAGCTAAATAGGAAAATTGCATTGAGAAATTATCTTGGCTAGTTCACGTTCTTGATGGGGATATAGCCTCATAATTGCCTAGGGATAAATGTTGCTTTTGACACTTTTTATTGGGAGGGGTCCAGTCTAACGACTTCTTCCTGATCCTTATTGGGTAATATCACTCACTCTGTTGAGACATGGACTCCCAAGTGTAGATATTACCAGTTACAAGATAAATCTATTGCACATATATTTTCAGAAAGTGGGAAAAAAAGCTACAGATTTTCATAGATTTGTTGGACCCTTTGTGAATGCATTTCTATTTATCACTTTTCGAAGTGTTACAGTTAAAATCCAGAATTCCAAGAATTAACCTTATCTATGGGAGCCTATGGCTAAACATACTCAAACTTTTATTATTTCCCTTCTCTCATTGTAAAAAGCTATAAGGTGTTAAGTAGATTTATGGAATATACTTGCTGAGTTACTGCAGGATCTTTGTTCAGGAAAGAACATTCTGAG